CATCTTTGCGTTGCAGAGAATCCTGTATTTAACAATCAGATTCAGTAAGTCAAATTTGCAGGAGCTTAAACTGCCTCACACACACTGAGCTGGTCATGAGCAAACACACTCTATGTCCCAGCATCCTTTGCAGCCTGTTTCAAAATTATGCTACATTCAACTTACCTCAGAAATGAGAAGTCAGAACTCAGAATTATGCCATTTTAGGTCATTTTCAGCCTCTGTGCATTCAAGCTACAATGCACAATGCAATGCAAAGGGGAAAAAACCCTGAACCTCCATGTTTGTCTTTTGTTAGCAACAAGCTAGCCAGCTAACAGTGATGAGTGATTCACCTCCTCAAAACAGCAAACTATATAGTCAGTGCTATAAATATAACAAGCAAATATATCTGTATGCTGATTGCTCTAAATCAAATACCAACAGCATAACTAATATATACTCATTTAAGAGTAAAAAGTGCTACTTTGTTTACTGTTGATGCTCTGAGCAGCCATGTTGATTTGTCATCACTTGCTGAATTCTGGGTGGAGAAGACCGACCCGAGTTTCTGAGTGGCAGTTTTGAGTTGAGGTGAGATTTTCTTTGGTTTTCGTCCTAGTCAGAGGTCAGAAATCCCAACTTACAAGTTGTAGTTATAAGTTACAAGTTATTCTCACCTCACCTCAATCCAGCAACCTGTGACCCCACATTGTTGACCCTGGTGCCTGAGCAACCTGTGAGCTCTGTAGTGAACATGCCTAAAGGAAGCATTTTGCTTAGGCAAGATTGTTGTTGTCCTTCTTCTTCTTCTGGCTGCTCCTCTTAGGGGTCGCCACAGGGGATCATTGGTCCACATATTTGATTTAGCACAATTTTTACACCGGATGCCCTTCCTGACGCAACCCTTCCCAGTTTTATCTGGGCTTAAGACCAGCACTGGGAGTGCACTGTCTTGTGCATCCCCAGTGGCTGGGGTCGGTTACCTGGCCAGGAATCGAACCCGGGCCGTGGCAGGGAGTGCCGAGGCCTAACCACTAGTCATTCAGGGACCCACTTGTTTAGGCAAGATTACAGTAAATAAAAACATTTCCACATTATTTTGGTGAAATATATTTAGGTTGTCTTAAAGGAGAGGTATTAAAGTATGTTATATGAAGAAAAACAATTTAGCCAAAACCAGATTTTTTGGTTTTTTTTGGCTGGTTGCCAGAATTCAGCCTTGGCGACATCTGTTAGGTTTACCAATGCGGCCGTAAATATATATTGATGAATTGGTATAATATGCTTCAGAATGTTTTGGGAGAATTTTTTATGAGCTCCAATGCAAAACTGAAGATATATAGTATAGTATATACAGCATAACTCATTTAAAAGTAAAAAGTGCTACTTTGTTTACTGTTGATGCTGTGTGCAGCCATGTTGATTCATTTCCATTTCAATTCAGTTTTATCACCCGTCCTCATCTGGGTGAATGGTTGATTTGACATCACTTGCTGAACTCTGGGTTGAGAAGACCATCCCGAGTTTCTGACATATGACAAAAAAAAAAGAAAAAAAATACTTTTATACTGCTGAACTGTGAAGCTACTAGTGAATGTGAAATTGCACACTAAGCCACTGATCTTTTCAACATAATGCAAAGTATAGTCTCTACAACAAATAATTTCAAAATTATTAACCAATACATAAAAGACGTGATCTTTCATGGTACCAGTGCCATCACAAACATCTAAGGGTTAAAAGGTTTAATAGAGAAATCCTAAATAATAAACATACTGTTAAATGAAACATAAATGTAAAATGGAAATAGAATTAAATGCAAAATTTTTAAATGTTTCACTTCATTGTGTATGTGACATGGTGCAAAACGCCGTTCTCAAAGCACTCAAAAACAAACTCAGAAGAAACTTTATATGGGACATGAGTGCTCTGTGCTTAGAAAGTGAGTGAAAAGGCTCAGTTGTACAGACCTGAGAGAAGTACAGACAGATAGAGACGGATGGAGGAGGCGATACAGAGAGAGAGACTTGTGGAAGATGATAATGGTGTGTGTTGAGAGCGGGGGGCTCGGGAGAGCGCTGGGCTAACGATGCTATAATGTAGTGCTGCTGTCCACATGAACAGCGCTGTGACTGATTGGGTGAGCAATGAGAGCAAGCCATGGAGCCACACACACATGCTGCCCAATCCATCAGTTAAGCATGTGGGAAGCCCCTCCCGGCACACAGCCAGCCTGAGACGGCTAATTAACACACACTGGGTTGAGACAGGGAGACAGGTTCACCGTCTATGTGCACACACTCACATTAGTTAGATATGTTAGCACTCCATGCTGATGTGTAACTTTTATGTAAGGGGGTATCAATCAATTCTAAATAAACTCAGTCCCAAAGGGGACATCCTATGATTCTTTCATTTTTTTATATTTCTTATTTTTTCTTTTATTGATATTTTTCCTTTTATTTAACAATTATATTTTTAGGCTTAGTACATTTGGCAAAAGGGCAAGGGGAACAGAAACATAATCTTTATTTTACATATATATATATATATATATATATATATATACATATATATATATATATATATATATACACACACACACACACACACAAACACACACACACACATATATATATAGATAGATAGATAGATAGATAGATAGATAGATAGATATAGATATAGATATATAAAACTGCCATAAAAAGGACATAAAAAGGAAAAAGACCAATATAAATTTTTCAGATATATTTTCTAATTCTTAACCCTCATAAATGACTGATTAAAAAAACAGCTAAAAAATTATAGAAACTAATTTAAAATGCATTATCCAAACAATTTTGTAGATCCTGTACATCCTGAAAATTTTAAATGATATAACCATCAACTATGTAAAGAATAGAAAGTGACAGGGCACCCAATCAGGCAACAACACGAGTGACAATTATAACTAAGCAATCCCGTATTAGTTCCTGATATTTTGTTGGATCCAGAAGACTCTGCACAGCCCTGTATCTGAGGCCATCCCCTGTGAGTGAGCCTGGCTGATATATTAGCATGGAAGCCTCGTTTGAAATACTCCGGATGAAAGAGTGATGCCTCTGAAGGAAGCCCGGGGCTGTGCACTCCAGCTACAGACGAAACCAAAGCACAGTAGTCCCAGTGCATCTTCATCAGGCCGGAGTTGATCTGTCAGCATCAAAGAGAGAGATCCAGGCTGAAAAGTGTTTAATTACCTAAGAGTGAGATGTGGGCTTTAATCTCAGGCCATGATTGTTACAAGGAGCCCACCTCTGTCTGACCGCACTGAGGCAGTCCCAGCAGAAGCAGTTAAAGTGTGAAGCTGGAAGATTTTGTCTTGTGGGTGCATGGCTCCAAAAAGGCATCTGATGTAAATAAAAAATGAGAACAGCAAGAATGTTCTCAGCAAAAGTTTGGCAAGTTAGATATGCAGTTAATTTATACCTTGAGTATTTTTCATATCAAACTTATTTTGCCTTCTTTAAGCTATTTATCTTTAGTATCAGCTTTAACCTGGTCAAGGTCACGGTGGAGCTGGAGCCTATCCCAGGAGCTCTGGACTTATTGCAGGAATACATCCTTGATAGGATGCCAGTGCTTCGCAGGGCATCACACACACACACACACACATACACACTCATTCACACCTACGGGCATTTAGATTAGCCATTCCACCTACCAGAATGTTTTTGGGAGGTGGGAGGAAACCAGGGAGGACATCCAAAAGTCCAAACAGACTGAAGCCAGAGCTCAGGATTGAACCCTGGAGCTGTACAGCCCCAACACTACCTGCTGTGCTGCCATGCCAGCCCTTATTTTACCATCTTCTGGTTCAAAATATGCCAATGAAGTCAAAGCACCAGATCTAGATATAGATATTCATGTTGTGGTACATTGCCCAGAAACATCAACTGACATGAAAAGTCCATGAATGTCCATCGTCTTTTCTGATTAAACTGGCTTAGAAAAACACTTTGTAATTTTGTCAGTTCAAACTTTAATGTGGCTTCTAACCCTTTTTTATTCCACATTTTGGTCTACATCTGATATAATGTGTATACAGTCGTCTTTACATGCTCTATGTATTCAAAAAAGACATTATAAACCTAAGACATTAGGTTTTAATACATTCTGTAGTATTTTAAATCTGATCTAGTTTGGCTTTGTTCTATATATCCCACCAAGGTCATCATTTATAAGATGCAATATAAACTAAAATGATAAACTTTTACCTTTTACCTCTGGCCAAAATTTAATAAACATCTGGCAAAGATGGTTTTGTCACATCCTTTAAACATCTCACTGAGTAAACCTGCCTCAGTTGTTGAATCTGCTTTCATCAGTTTTCATTTAAAGCTTTTAGGCTTGGACAAATTCAATAACATACTGTGCGATAACATGTCCTCCATATCAGATTATATAATTAAGATCCTCTAACAATAGACCTACAATTAAAGAAAATATAACTGCTACTGCTTGCTTGGTGGTTACTGTAAAACCACGTATTTTATCTATCTATCTATCTATCTATCTATCTATATATATATATATATATATATATATATATATATATATATATATATATATATATATATATATATATATATATATATATATATATATATATATAATGTTTGAATGCATGTTTTAATCACGTTGTAATTACGATTAAAATTATTTATATATAGTATTAGATTTTACACTTCACTGAATGCCTATTTCCATTTTTTGTTGTTGTTGTTCACTGACTATTTTTTGTTTGGTTTTTTTAGCTGAAAATTTTCATTGGCTTCCCTAATAAATATAGTTCATGGACGTCAGCCACATACAGTACTTGTCTAATGTTAGCTAAATCAAACATACAGTGCTAGATTTTTATTTCAACATTAATCAACTCAAAACATTCTCCATTTCCCTTGACAGAAAGCAATGGCACTGCGTCAGTGCATCTTTCAAGCAGGAAAATAGAAAGGAGACAAGATTAACGTGAGGAGGCGGGGTTTCCAGGGCGTGAGGTAATATCAGAGAGTTCAAAACACCTGCACAAGTGTCAATCATTCCAGATTCGCGTGTTGATTGGATCATCTACCATTTTTATTGGGGGGAAAATTTACTTTTTTTGCATATTTTTGAGTGTTAACTCATAACAGCGTACTCCATTGTTAAAATGGGGAGTTCCTATGCAAAACATGTAAAGGTTGGCAGGCTTTTAGCAGCAATCACACTGAGGTTTCTGCTGTCTACCTCCTTTTTTGCAGTGCCATTAAATTGGCCATGGGTGAGCATTACACATTATGCGTTCCGAAACCACAAATCTCACCTCACAACCAAAGAATTGCACTATATGGCCTAAAGTTTGTAGACACCTGAATGTCACACCATCATTTGCTGTTATAATAACCTCCACTCTTCTGGGAAGGCTTCCACAGAAGGGTGGAGGTCCAGATTTTGGAAAGCGGCTGTGGGGATTCAGCCACAAGAGGATTAGTGAGATCAGGCACTGATATCGTGTGAGGAGGACTGGGGTGTAGTCAGCGTTCCAACTCATCCCAAAGGTGTTCAGTGGAGTTGAGGTCAGGAATCTGTGAAGGTCACGCAATTCTTCCACACCAACCTTGGCAACCATGTCTTCATGGACTTCACTTTGTGCACAGGGGCATTGTCATGCTGGAACAGGTTTGGACTCAACCCCTTAGTTCCAGTGAGGAGAAATCTTAATGCTACAGCATACAAAGACATTCTAGACAATTGTGTGGTTCCAACTTTGTGGCAACAGTTTGGGGAAGAACCACATGTTGGTCAAATGTTCACAAACCTTATATATAATGTATTTTACCATTTATGCGACTGCAAAATCGAGCAAAGAATTCATACAGTGTAAACCCAGAGTAAGTTATTAAATTAACAATTTATGTCACTTCCACACACAGCAGTGTTTAGCGTAAACTCTGGAAGTTTCTACAGAGGTGTTCTTCCTGCACGCTACACGTGCAGTGCAGAGTAGAGCTGAAACCCAATCCTTTGCCAG